AACCAATAATAATTATTATTAAATTGGCAAGACTAGAGCGTTCGCCGCGGTCTAAGATGACAGAAATCTCATCAAAAATATGTAAACACGAGACACTAACTACAAATCCAACAAAGAGCATGCATGCGCAAATTAGCTTTTTGCTTGCGTTGCGGCCCTTGCGTTGCGAAAAGTTGAATTGATTCAACCCTCGCTTTGCGTACAAGTGGTGTCGATGAGGAAGGAATACCAAAGGAAATTGTATCCGATAATGGCTCTCATTTTGTGTCTTAAAGACTTCATGTAAGGGAACGGTATATCGCACATCATATCATAAGTGCACCATACCACCCTAGTACTTGGTACAAATGGACTGGCAGAGAGATTTGTACAGGGCCTTAAACATAGTCTAAAGGCAAGCAAGCCAGAAAATAGCAACATTCGAGGGAAACTACAAAACATGTCGTCATAACGATGCACAGTACACTCAACCACTGGTAGCTTACCAGCAGTTTTCTTTGGACGAAACATTGGGACAACTGATTTGCTCAAACCAGATCTTCTGGATAAAGTTTAGCGAAAAACAGTACAAGCAAATTGAAAGTAGGAAGCGCACAAGTGATCGTCAGTTTGTCATGGGACAAAAAGTTCTGGCAAGAAATTACAGGGGAGGAAAAAATGGACCCTATGTGTTGTGATTGAAAAAATAGGCCCAGTTAGAACACCTGATACAATGCAGTGGCAGCGTCATGTTGATCAATTAGCGTCAATATTGAGTTTTGGACTTTTACAGTACAGGATTGCTGTTATTTTTAATGATTAGATGGAGTGATATGTGTAAACCTTCGATCATTTTCTTACACAAGACGTTACGCGCTATACAAGCAAGAACAAGTTGGCTGTTCAGAGAAGAATTGTTTCTCTTAACGTTTGGGTTTTTCCTCGGATAAGATAATCTGTTTTATTGTGATGTTCCTGGCTTTGTCGTGCTCTGTGACCTATTGTGTTTTTTGAGCTCGTTTTTTTTTTTTTTTTTTTTGCTAGCCCGTTTGCTGTTGACATCGTGTCACGATAGTGTATACCGCCCAGAGCTATTGTTGCGTTGTTTTCACACGAAGCGTCGACTCCAGCTAAGGCCTAGAACGCCTGCACCTGCTTATCTTCATATTGTCATTTACTGTTATTGCCTCCGTACAAGATTTTGTAATGTGTTTTTCACGGCAAGCTTCAAAGAAACCTAGTAATACTGTTTTCAACGCTAATGATCCTAACTGTTTTAAAATAAAAATAAGAGGATGCCGGCCCGGTAAATTTATAAATAGGCCATACCTGTTCGAATTTCGTCAGATACTAAACAATCAAATAGGCAGCCAACGCGCAAAGCTAACCTCAATAACCTAGTGGTTTTAGTATCTGGAAAATGGACATTCCCCTCTTTTTTTCTTACCAAAGCCAGATCGCTGACAAACAAGATGAATGAGCTACCACTAAGAGTAAAGGAGGCTAGCTCAGATATTTTTGCGATAACTGAGACACCTCAAACCTTACTTAGCAGATAACTTAGTGTCTTTGGAAGGATACAAACTTATCCGCCGTGACCGTATTGAAAAGTCGTGTGGTGGAATTTGTATTTATATACATGAAGACATACCTTTTAAAGTGTGGACCGATTTAAGTGACGAATCAATTGAGAGTTTATGGATGTCAATCCGTCCCAAGAGACTTCCGCGCAAAATATCCAATATAACAGTTGGTGTTATATAGCTGTCTCTTATACACATCTAGATGTGTATAAGAGACAGTTATTAAATTGGCAAGACTAGAGCGTTCGCCGCGGTCTAAGATGACAGAAATCTCATCAAAAATATGTAAACACGAGACACTAACTACAAATCCAACAAAGAGCATGCTAATAATAATAATTCAATGAGGCTAATTAAAAATAAATTGCGTTCTGTTATGACAAATGCTCATTTAGATAGCCTCATGATGGTTGGAATAATAATAATAATGGTCGACTTATAGAGCGCATATCATAGAGACCTCTATGCGCTTAACATAAATAAGAAGACAAAATGATACTTAACTAATCCTACTCCTTAAACCATGGAGGTATAAAAATAGCCTCCATGCTTAAACTAAGCATGGACATCGTAATAGGTGAAGCAACCTCGACCATGACAGCGTGGTTGACAGATTTCATGCAAAATTTCCAAAATACTGTATAGAATTTCACTTTCAAGAATGAGGATTTGAAAATAAATTAGATGGTTACATTGCATACTCTTTGTTTCTTGTTTTATTCAAAATGTTTTGGTTTCGGAAGCTGGTTTCAACATTAGAAAGCACAGCCTACATGAAGTCATATTATAGTAACTCGATACCTATTAAATAAGTAATAAAAATTCGCCATAATTCATCAAATATCCGTGGCTTCCAGGGGCCTTCGCCCCCTGGACCCCCACCTGGGGCCCTAGGTGGCCCCCAGCCAAGTGAGACTCGATTCGCTCCACTAGACCCCCCCCCCCCGTCGGGGCCTTTAGCCCTCCGTCGGCCAGGTCATGGCGCCATTACTGTATATACCACCCCCGCCCCGGGTAATGTGAACTGGAATATGACATGTCACATTACTCAAAGCATGACCATGTATGTTGAAAACACCCAAATACTGATTTTGTTGTTTTGGGGGATTTCAATCGAATGAAGGACTACCAACTAATTAAATATCCTCTTATAAGCAGGTAGTCAAAAAACCCACCAGAGCGGAAGCCATTGGATCTAATTTATACATCTATGAGTAATTTTTACAATGAACCTCAAATTCAACCCCCATTCGGGCTTTCTGGTCACAAATGTCGTCTTATGGAATCCCAACACGTGTTTATCAGCTATGATATCTGATGCCAGATTTTACCATAAATAAGAGGCTTGTTAGCCTAGCAGCTAAAGAACGTTTCGCCAATGATCTTAGTAGCATTAGATGGCAAGAAATGTATCGAAGACTGTATTAGTCAATTTAATTTTTACAATGATAATGTTCAAAACTGATGAACATGCATTTTCCAGTAGTTACGTTTCGGAAAGACAATGGTTAAGCCATGGGTCACAAGTGCATATAAGAAAGCTATTAGAACCCGCCAAAAAGCGATTAATAGAGATCCTAAATCAAATGAATATCGCCAGTTACGGAATAAAGTAAATCGTCTTTCTACAACCCTCCGCAAAAAATACTATAAGAAAAATCTGGAACACTTATTACGAACGGATAGTAAATCGTGGTGGGTGGGTTTAAAACCCACCATTAATATTTTTTCAGTCATTAACAGCAGACTTTAAGGCCAACGAGCGTGATGATGTATTGCAAAATAATATACCGATATACTTGCCTGACCACTTGGTGATTACCCCTCCTGAAGTCGAGAAGAAACTCAAACAGGTTAAATGTAATAAGGCACCAGGTCCGGACTCCATAACTCTATGGATTCTTAAGGAATTTTCCCATATTTTGGCAGACCCTTTGTGCTCCATATTCAACTGTAGCCTTAGGGAGGGTTGTGTCCCAAAGGCATGGAAATGTGCGGACGTGGTGCATATTCCCAAGAATAAACCACAAAAATCTATAGAAAATGACCTCAGACCGATTTCTTTAACATCCTGTAAAGGTACTAGAGAGTTTAATTGGGGGAATGTTGTGGGGTCAAGTGAAAGATGAAATTAACCTAAACCAATATGGTTGTTCCAAAGGTGTTTCAACCGTTGACGACCTGATTGAACTCTTGCATTCATTGAACTCTTACATGAATGCCATATTGCGTCAGATGTCTGACAAGAAGTTAGAGTACTCCATCTCGACTTCAGAAAGGCATACTAGTGGACCACAATGTACTTGTTAGGAAACTGAGAAACCTCGGCATCGAGTGTAATTTAGTTAAATGGAATCCTTTCTACATAACAGAATGCAAAGGGTCAAGTTCGGTTCTACTTTCTCAAGTTGGGTGCCTTTAAATGGAGGAATCCCTCAGGGGTCGTGGCTGGGGCATATACTATTCAATGTCCTTGTTAATGATCTTATGCCGGGAGTGTCTTGCATCAAATATATGGATGACACTACTGTCTTTGAGCGCATTAACAAGGACCGGACTAGTGGGCTCCAGTCACTTCTGGATATGGCTACCAGATGGACTGATGAAAACCATATGGTTATTAATACTAAAAAGACACAAGAAATGGTTGGTGAGTTGTAAAATAATAAGTCAGAATTTGATCTTCTGTTTATTAAGGACAAAAGCATTGAAAAAGTAAAGTCAGCACCCGATTATATTTTCTTAAGCGTCTGTGTAAATCTGGTCTGTGTAAATCTGGTAGCAGGACAAATTCATTATTATTTAAGTGTTATAAGTCCGGCTCTTGAATATTCCGTCCCTCTTTGGGGTATGTGTATCACAAATGAGCAATCTAAACAACTTGAACGCATTCAAAGACGTGCTTTGGGGATTATCTTCCCGGGGGCCGATTATAACTGGGCTCGAGGTGTTGCCGGGATCCCTTTGATGTCAGAGCGGCGTAGACGTTTATGCAAATAATATTTTACTAACTGAAATCACCCACCCACAGACTTCACCACCTCTTACCCAAAATGCATAATACTCCATATAACCTCAGACGTGACAATAAGTTATCCTTACCCAAAGTTAACACCCAACGGACAATGAATTTTATTACTTTTACCGGTGTGTTGACGGAATGGTGAATACCTGTAATTCCTGTACGGCTCTCTGACATCAAAATTGCATCATTTTTATATTTGTTTCATGATTTTTTTGTTATTATAATGATAACTTTAATTAAAAATAACAACAATAATTATTAATAATGGTGGCTTATCTTTATATATATTGTTATATATCTGTCTCTTATACACATCTAGATGTGTATAAGAGACAGCAATACATTTTCAATGAAATTTTGAGGACACACATTTTGGGGCTTATGCTCAGTTAAGTAGGCCCATTGATTTATCTGTATGTTCATTAAAACTATAAAATGTAGACAAAATAAGATTTTATTTGTTTATATGCATTGACCAATGACATGTGTAGTACAGTAGTTCCAACTACACAAGTACCTGAATACTGGAATCAACATGTGGCAAAGACAAGCCAAACCAGTCACTCATCGCAAAAATAAATTTTGAATTATTAATACAGGATTAAAGATAAAATAAGAGCTATACAATGGTAAAACTAGACCTGTGCCAGGGCTGTAGTTTATATTGTTAGTTATAAATTACAATTTGTAAATATGGTACAGGTGCAGATTTAGAAAGAAAATTAGGTAGTGGTAAAAAAAAAAATCATTCAAAGCCTTAAAAATTGTTGTTTTAACTTTGAAAATGGGGAAAATAACAGCATAGAATGATGTATAAACATATAAAGCTTAGTTTAGTGCAATAAAATAGATTTTTTTTTAAATTTTGACATTCCAGCATGTTTTGACCATTTTCTCTGAAACACGATTTGCGACAAGTGACTGGTTTGGCTTGTCATTGCCACACATATTTCTCCTACCACTAGTTATTCTCAATCCACAGATAAAGATAATTTAGATGTCAAGTATATCCTCTTGTCATTATTGCTAAGCTTGGCATTCCATTCACTGCTTGGTATCTAAAAGAAAGAGAAAGGTATATAGTTTAATAGCTAGCTTTGACCATTGTGCTGTATCAGATTTCTGTCTCACAAAAATCTGGAAAATGCATAAAGAGATACAGTATTAGATTTGGTTTAAGTATAAAAACAACAGCAGTAAAAATAGCTACTAAAACGACTCACTTCACATATATTAGATTGATACAAACAGTGTTTAATTTACTTAACATAATATTAATTCAGTTAGCATTTCATGAACAAATATAATTTTTAAATCACTTATAAACTATCATAGAATAGATCCCCATGATAACAGAGGGTCGCTATCGAAAGCTGGATTAACCCTATAAAAAAAAAGTACTTGACATCAAACAACTAACTAGTAGACCACTTGCTCATCACATCAGTTTTCAATAGGGAATTAATAGGGAAGGTAGCATATCAACCCACCTGTACAACATTATACCCAAGCTTTCTTAGGTGCCTAACTTTCATTGCCTGAGCACCATGAAGTCGGTCAGAGTCTTGAAGATGGTGGCTTTGAGAGATGACTATCACAGCTAGTCTGAAAAGTAATAGATTTTACTGCTACATCAATTAGGACTAGTAAATTAATTAGCATAATCTAATAATTTTAAGGAACTTGTACAGGAACTCTTTAAATCCAAAAGCCTATTGGGGGCTAGCCATCACAGAAGGCAGACTAAAGCTGTGTTTGCACTTGAACTTCTTTTGGATAAATTTGCTAGGATGTTGGTTATTGGATTGCAAACAGCCTATAGAAACATTCTAATTGGTTCAGTTACTGCATTTTTACACAGCAGATGTTACTTGATATTTACTAACATCAGCCCATTAGCATTGGTCTTGGCTAACAAAAGTCCAATGCAAACAAATCTTTGGAATACACTACCAGGCCAGGTTACACAATTTCTTCATGCCTTTCTCTTTCCTTTCCTTTCCCTTTCCCTTTCCCTTGTTAAATGTTGAAGTCAATTCCATTTCCTTCTGACAATTTGTACATGGTATTTATGTCACCTAGAAGGAAATATATATCTAATTTCTAACTCTTGTCTACAAGTGAACAGTAGCAACAAGCAACAAGCAAAACAAAATTACATAGGAGATGAGGAAAAATCAACAACATACTTGGTAACAGGTTTTGATGCAGAAGATACCTCTTCATCAACAACTGGAATTGGTTTTCCATTTTCACCCAAATGCATTTCTATATCTATTATAAATGAAAACAAATTTTTATCATATTTATTTATGATTTTTAATCATGAGAAAAATCTGCCATTTTACAGTTAAAGCATACTGTACCTGTGTTAATACTGCACATTAAACATGCTCGAAAGCTCATTCCATAATATAAATTTTTATATGACAAATTTGTATGATTTGCCCATACTGTACACTATAAAGGCATTATGCACTTGTCAATTGTAGTCCCGGCCACCCCGGACCCGGGCCATAGCGTGGCACTAGCCGGGACTGAACACATAGTTGTGTCCCTGTAGCGCCGGGATGCACCTAAAATTTACCCGTAGATGTAACAGGCCTCGGAAGGGCCCGAATTTTGCATGTTTAGAGTAGCTGCGGTTTCGGGTGTGTAGGCCTAGGGGGCCTAGTGCTGTCAAACCAGGTCTGGCCCTACTACACTAGGCCTAGGCATTCAGTCAGTAATTACTGTGTGTTTTGGTAATTAAAAAATCGCCTACTGGTACTTTAGGCCTACCATCATGGTCTCATTTTTTATAGATCGCGGTATAAATTACATAATAAAATTTGAACCTCCAACCACACAACACCGAGGACTAAGGTGGTGGCGTGTGTGAGTGTGCTGCGTGAAAATTTGTGAGCCGTGCCCGTAAATCTGACTTAGTTTGTGTCAAAAAATACGCTAGTACATCAGCCAAGGCAAGGAAATCTGTTTCTACTACATGTATTCATTTCCTTATTTTGGCCTAATTTCTGTTTTGATATTAAATAATTAAGTACTATCAATCAGTTAAATCAATCAATCAATTATTTTTTTTAATCATCAATCTGCCAATATACTTTTTTTTTTTCGCACTTTTCCAAACCATAGAAACCTGCTTAGTGATACGCATGCGTAGTGCAAGCAAGCCAATTCCCTTGGCCTAGCTTCTGCCAGCTGTCACATGCTTCTCCGATTCAGACCTAGCCTAGACATTCAAGTACCGTACTTGCGCGAATAAGCGCCCGGGCGCTTAAAATATTTGTTTGTACTTTTTGAGAGGCGCTTATTCAAACGAGGCGCTTATTCGAACGGGGCGCTTATGAAAACAGAGTGGAAATTGAGGGGCGCTTATATGGAAATAGATGAAAATCGAGGGGTTCTTATGTGAATTCATTAAATTCATGAGGCACATTTTGAACGAAAAACAATTATATACAAGGACATCAGTAAACTAATCGTCCATAGAGAATGGCTCGTCATGACAGGAATCTTGTGAGTACAGTATTATATAACAGCAGAATATAGCAGATGAAATTAGTGGTGGCCATCGGCCGATTGACATTAGCAGGATGGCATGATCATTGCAGGTTTTCTTGAAAACTCCCATGAGAATGTGTTAGGTGCAAATTGTCGGAAAAGGAGTACAGGACTAGCCTATAGACAAGTGTAAGAAGATGAAAGTTGGAAATATAATATATAAATATCAGTGTTGGAGGTCTCGAGACCTGTCTTGGTCTCTAGACAAGTCTTGAGACCATTTTGTTTGGTCTTGGTCTCGAACCCTCTGGTCCTGATCTTGGTCTCAAACCCTCTGGTCTCGGTGGAAAATTTTTTCCAGTCGATCGCCGCGCTGCGACTGCAGATCGTCGTGTTTTAACATTTTGAAGCTTTGCGCATTCATCATGTCTTCTACATCAGCAATAATAAAATTTGTTTATCGAGAGCACAGAGAGTATGAAGATGTTGCCTGTGCCAGCATCAAGTGCCCCAGTGGAACGGGCATTCAGTAGAGGCAGAATCATAATGCGGCCACATCGTGCGAAGCTCTCTTCACGCATGGTGGTGTTGCTAATGTTTCTCAAGTGCAATGAGCATGTTTTGCCACTATGCAATATATAAGGCATATGAACATAAACCTAAAAACGCAAATAAGCAACTCTTATATACGCTGAGATTAGTATTTTTTTATGTGATAGTATGTTTATTTGTAGCGATAAGCATCTGTACTGTACATGAATATACTCTTATTTAATAAAAATATGATTTATTACATTCTTCATTGATTGGTCATTTTATTCAGCTGCTTAAAAGTCCTATTACTGTACACGCTGGTCTTGGTCTTGGTCTCAAAAATTGTGAGTCTTGGTCTCGGACTTCTTGTCTTGGTCTTGGTCTGGGACCCGGGATGTGCGGTCTTGGTCTTGGTCTCGGATGGCCTGGTCTTGACTACAACACTGATAAATCTTTCCTTTCTTTCAAGATATTTATTAAATAGAACACAAAACAATGCAATACAATAATAAGGATTTTTTTTTTTTTTTTTTTTTACGAAATACGAAGAACTTTATTGCAATCTCTCATTCAAAATTGAAGTTTAACAAAAGGGGAGAAAAACATTACAAAACAACTTCACAACCCCACTAAACACATAAATATTCTACAATAAAGGCAATACAATTAATTAGGCAACATTAAGTAAAAAATCCAAGTACAAAAATAAATAATTCGCTAAATAATTAAAATTTAAATGACATTTAATTTACAATTAAGATAAAAAATTATTGCAACAGGAAATCTATAAGAAAATTCAGACCGACACCTAAACCAACCAAAAGACCGGCTTGCAAAAAGTAAAAGGAAAAACTCATTTAAAAAGACCTCGCCAGAGAGGAGGGCCCGGGTGTACAGGGATGACCTACCAGTTATTGAACAAACCAGTATTTGTTATGAAATTCTTCGAACGCTCGGTTTTTATTCTAGGGAGAGAAAATTCACGTTGTAATGCTTCTCCCTAGCTTTAGGCAAAAGATGATTTAGCCTATGCGTTGAGATTTTGAGCTTCTGGAAATAGTCCCTGCACAACCGGGTGCACCTCTCTGACAATAAAGGGATATTTAAAAAGGACCTTGCACATTCGTAACTAACACCAGGTAAAATAACCCCTAAAGCCCTACTTTGGATTTGTTCAAGCTGTTTACTCTGTTCTCTTATACACATCTAGATGTGTATAAGAGACAGATATTTAGGTAGAAGGTCGATTTTGCAATTCTGATGATCATTTTTTATTTCTGATTTTTGAATGCTGTTGTTTTTTGTTGTTCTGTGTATAATTTTTAGATAAATTTATCATATTTTTATAGCTATTTTTATACTGATGTTTAATGTCTAGGAAGTGGATTTGGGACCATTTCCGGCAATAGATTTTGTGCAGATTTTCCCCCACAGTCCC